CAGGCCAGGTACGGTGACTCCTGCCCATAATCCCATCACTTTGGAGAGCCAAGACGGGTGGATCACCTGAGGCCAGGAGTTCAAGACCAGCCTAGCCAACATGGTGAAACCTTGTCTTTACTAAAAATACAAAAACTAGCCAGGTGTGGTGGTGAGTGCCTGTAGTCCCAGCTACTCGGGAGGCTGAGGCAGGAAAATTGCCTGAACCCAGGAGACGGAGGTTGCAGTGAGCCAAGATCATGCCACTGCATTCCAGCCTGGGCAACAGAGAGAGACTCTGCCCCAAAATAAATAAATAAATTAATAAATAAATTAATAAATAAAAATAAAAATAAATATGTTTGCATGTTTTTGTGTAGACATTAAATTTTCAATTCATTTGGGTAAATACCAAAAAGTATGATTGCTTGTTTGTATAGCAAGAGTATGTTTAGTTTTGTAAGAAACTGTCAAAATGCCTTTCAAAGTGGCTATATCATTTTTCATTCTCACCAGTAATGAATGAGGGATCCTATTGCTCCATATCCTTGCCAGTATCCATCTCGAAAATGTATATTAGCCATCCAACAGAATAACATTTCGCAATAAAAAGGAATGAAATACTGATATATATTAGAACATGGATAAACCTTAAAAATATCATGCTAAGTGAAAGAAACTAGTCACAGGAGACTATCTTTTACATGTCCAGGACAGGGAAAACTATAGAGACAGAAGCTAGGTTAGTGTTTGTTTAGGGATAGGGAGATAAGGTCATAGGAGGCTCATAACTAAGAGTGTGGTGTTTCTTTTTGGCTTGACAAAAAGATACTAAAATTGATTGTGGTAATGGTTGCACATATATGTCAATATACTAAAAGCCATTGAATTATATACTTTAGGTCCATGAATTGTTTGGTATGCAAATTACATCTCAATAAAGCTGTTACTAAAAAGAAGTAATATCTATTCTGAGATAGATGAGTAGGAGTTATCTAGGCTAAGTGTGTCAGGGGTAATTGAGGCAGTGTTTCAGGCAGGAATAAATGTGAGAACCAGGACCCAGACTTGAAAGGGCATGGAGCTTTGAGGAACTGATAGGAATTCACTCAGCACAATGTTATTATTACTATTTATTAAATACCATTCATTCCAGAGCAGTGATTAGGAACAAGAACATTGACCTTAGGCAAGTATTCTATTTAATAGCTTAGTAAACTCGGCCAGGCCTTACTTTCTTTTTCTATACAATAATAGGTTAATGATATAACATCTAGAAAAGGACTCACAGTTCATGGAAGGGAAGAAAGACTCTGTGTAAGTCCAATAATCATTTTGGCAATTACAACGCAAGGATAATAGAACTACCAATTGGGAAAAAAATTTTTAAATAATTATTTCTTAACCAGATGGCAGGAGGCCAGACAAGAGATACCAAAATGCCACTTAAAAAGAAATGGCCTTTCTCTTCAGCAAGCTAAAGTGCTTCATCTCGATATTTGTGAATATGGGTATATATGTGTATGTATGTATATATTATACTGTGCCTTCTGTTCTTCATATTTCTTTTAACAATGCATGGTGAACATGTAGTACATATGGATCTCCTTCATCCCTTTAAATAGCTCCTTTACCTACATTACACTGTGCACAAAAGATTTGAATAGACATTTCTCAAAGTATGAAATACAAATCACCAATAAGCATATAAAAATATGCTCCATACCCAACGAAATTATTAATCAACCGATGCAGCTGTTTTTGCTAATGGTCTTGCAAAAGGCTAGGGTAAGAATATCAAATAACTGCTTTTGGCTACTATTTTGTGTGTTGGCCTTCTCCCTCTTACCCTACCTGGAACTTTCCTTGCAGAGAAAACAAACAAGCTTTTCTGTTAGCCTTTGCTTTTTACAGAGGCTCAGGTAATTATGTGTGGATGGGATCTGGGGCTGATTTTCAAACACACACTCTTCTGTCAGTTTCCTAGTAAAAAGTTTTCTATGAGATTACTCTTGTCATTAGCATCCTGAAGAATCCATTGGCTTTGCATTTCTACATCTTTATTTTGTGATATCTTGATAGCTGTGTCTTACTGTAATTTTGAAGTTCCTCAAAGGCTGTTTATCTTTAGTTTCTTAGTTGATGCTCTTTTCATTCAATTAATGTGAGAATTTATTCAAAATCCCCTGTACTTAAGTAAAAACTAGAAATAATTACAAATACCATGTTTACATTCTGCAATATACACTGTTGTCTTGTATTTAATTTGGAATCATAAATCAGAGTTTTTGGTGCTAGGAAAGGCTTATCATTCACATTCAGATTTATTGTACAGAGAAAACTGTTATTGAGAGAGGCAATCTGCCATGAGGCCTGAGCATCCCTGCATATTCTTATTGGGTATGCCAAGAATGTAAGGCCCTGGTCGCTCTTCATCGAGGCAGACCATTTCTCATAGTTGTATTTGCAACAAGCAACCTTGAGCGATAAGATAACGTCTTTCCCTGAACAAAGAGCAGGCTTGTTTCTACTATGAAAGAATTGAGTACCCCAAACTCAAGGTTTCTTTCCTGTAAGGCAACGCACTGCATTTTCAGGTATCAATCACAGGTCTTATGTCACCTCATGAAACTTGGGAATAATAGGGAACTAATACAAATCAATGTGAAGCTCTGGCTACTGCTTCTGTGACAGTGTTATCTGATTTCCACCCAGTAGTCTAGAGTCCTCTGCCAGCATCCATTAAATGGGAATAGGCTTGTTTGTTAGGTTTTACATAGGGCAAAATCTCAAATCCTGCATAGTTCTTGATAGGTGTTTCCAGTTACTATCCCTAAAGTTATTATGCTCATGCTAGGGCAATGTTTCTCACCAGAAAGATTTTTTTTTGCCCTAAGTATGTGCCACCTACACGATTAATACTGTGTTCTAACTTAATTTTCTTCAAATTGACTCATTTATTTAATTTGGATACTTTTTTTTTTGAAAACCAAACTTTATAATGCCACCCTAAATCTAAACTATGATAATTTGCTTTAAGCAGAAAGTATTCATTATTACATGTTCAAATAAGTACATGGACAGCACAATTTAAAAGACTTGTGTACTATCTAAAATCATTTTCTCCTACCACCAGACTCTTTTACTGTAACCACAAGTTATCTGATTACAGCCAGAGCAGTCATGTCTGGGACAAAGTTTCTAGCTAGCGAATTTTGAGATCTTATATTCTTCCTTATAAAAATGTCTTCATCAAACTTCCTTGTGGAGGAAAAACAAAAGGGATAAAGGAACTCTAATGCTGATCTGCAAAAAGTAGAGTTGTTTTTCTCTAGGTATGTCTGTCCAGGACAGGCAAGCCATCAGCTAAGGAGGGTCTTATGCCTAGCAGAGAAGCCAAAGTCAGACCTATCCTAGACAGGAGTGTGGCTTAAGTGAGCCTTTCCATGTCCTTCCTGAGTGCCACCCCTGTGAGGGCCAAGGGGATGGATTTATCCTGTTTTGTAAAACTGGCAGTGAGCCTGGAACCTTATCTCACTCCAACATGGATTCCAGCCCTACCAGCAACCTTTAGGCTGCCATCACCTTGAAGAATGTTTTGGAGGCATGAAGAGCTCCCATAATAGCATCACAGAGGAAAATGACACATGATGGGCCCAATAGTGGGCCTTTTGTAAAGAAAGAAAGGGCCAGGTGCTGTGGTTCACGCCTGTAATCCCAGCATTTTGGGAGGCTGAGGTGGGTAGATCACCTGAGGTCAGGAGTTTGAGACCAGCCTGGCCAACATGGCAAAACCCCATCTCTACTAAAAATACACACACACACACACACACACACACACACACACACACACAAAATTAGCCAGGCGTGCTGGTGTATGCCTGTAATCTCAGCTACTTGGGAGGTGAGACACAAGAATTGCTTGAACCTGAGAGGTGGAGGTTGCCATGAGCCGAGATCGTGCCACTGCACTCTAGCCTGGGTGACAGAGTAAGACTCCATCTCAAAAAAAGTAATAAAGATAGATAAATAGATAATAGAGAGAGATATATATATAGAGAGATATGTAGATATAGATACATAATAAAGCCTACACAGCACTTTCATATATTTCCAGCCAAGGATGGAATTACTCCCAAATCTGACTTAAATTTTCCTGTAAAATTTATACAAGTCTACTAATATCTGTTGAACTGATGAGGAAGCCCTGACACTAGTCTTCTGGGAGAGATCATTCATCCTAAGGAAATAGGTGTCAGGAAGATAAAATGGTAATCTTCAGATCCAGGGCAGCAATTCTTACTAAAGTGTAATGTATGTTACTCAGATTTATTTTCTGGTCCAACTCCCAGATGGACCTATCATGTCTGAGCCTTATGGGGAGAAAGTTAAAATCCCAAAGTTGCCAAGATACCTAAAAGACATCATGACTCACGTGGTACTGCATAAGTGTCTATCTAAATTCAAGTGATGGGCAATCTCCTCACTTCTGTAAAGGTCAGTCTGGGAACTTAGCTTACTGGGGGTGCCAAAGAAATATGTTGTAATATATTTGAGAATTCTAGCACATACATAGTGATAGGGGCCTGAAGGTGCAGGACCCAGCAGAAGGGGCAGAAAACCCAGTATATATGGTAGTATCAAGGGCAGGGGCATGAGAGGCTGGGCAGGCGTATCAGGAAATAAACATAAAGGTGGCACCCACCTCATGGTTGTTTGGGTTTGTTCTTAGTCACAGATAATAACTACTTTCTTCATCCTTCCAAATCGCTAAAATTAATCTCTTACAGAGCTGGGATGGGAACAATACTCTGTCAAACATAGCTCACAGTCATTACCTTATTTGGCCCTCACAAAATTCTTGTGAGATTATTTTATTTTAAAGATGAGAAAATATGTAAAATTTATTATTCTGGCTAAGTGGTCCGGTGTTACTTTGAAGTTCACATTTCTTCTAAAGTTCTGTCAACAAATATTAAATGTCCCAATACTTTTAGAAATAAACTAGTAAGTGCTGCTTGTTGCTTCTTTTTGTTATAAACTTTTATTATTCTAGCAATAATAATGCGTGTTAATTTTAGGAATATAGAAAATACAAATAAGCAAAAGAAGAAAAATCATTCATAATTCCACCACTGAGAGGTTGTACTTTCTTTCATCCTTCACAAGTTATGTCCATATATGTAATATACAAATGTACTTTTTACCTTTCAAAAATAAGATATTCACACATTACTTAGTAGCCTTTTTCCATTTTATATCCTGCTAAGAACCTCTTTTTTACAAATGAGTAAAGTTCTCTTACCAAAAGACAGAGACTTGTAGATTGGTTCAAAATACAATAACCAATGAGATGCAGATAGATACATGAGATACAGAGATACATCTAAAATCATTAACAGCAACAGGTTAGAAGTAGAAATATGGACAAAGGTATATGAGGAAAATGCTAATAAAAAGCAAGCTATATGGTATTGTTAATATCAGATACAAATTAAGGTAAACTACATTAAATAAGGGTAAGGATGGTTTCGATTAACCTTCCAACGCATCACTACAAGTTTGTTTCTGACTCTCCTTATCTCATCCATTTCATCCACTTCTCTACACATATCTTCATTGCTTAAATGCCTGTTGTGTATATCTTCTTTAAATTCTTGGAGTGATTGAATCAGCTTCTCTCTAAAAGCTCCTTTTGCTTTGGCCTCCTCCTCCAGCTCCTCCACCTCCTCTGGCTTTTCCTCAGGTTTTGGCTCTTCCTCCTGCTTTGGTTCACTCTCATTTTCTGGTTTTCCTTCAATTTTTTGACAGGATTTCATCTTCTATCTATCTACCTCTCTTCCTTCCTTCCTTCTTCTTTTCTTCCTTTTTTTTTCTTATTCCTCTTTGAATACAATGACTTCTGGAAAGCAAAAAGAAGACAGGAAGTTAAAGATTAAACACTTGGTGAGTGGACACGTGCCATGGGCAGAGGTCTTAGCATTTTTTAAAATTCAGAGCTATTATAAAATATCTTCCACCTAAGAAGCCCAGTCAGCAATCACAGCTTCCCTACTTCTCTTACCTCCACTTTCCACCTCCGCACTTCTCTCTTGTCCTTCCCTCTAACCTTTTGCACCGCCGTCCTTTCCGCCTCCCAGCCCTCCCCAATCCTTTTTCCCCCTTAGGGCCTAATACGCGGACCAGCCCAGAAAAGAGAAAGGTGGCTGGCAGGTAGAGGAAGAGGGGAAAGGAGAAAGGGGAGAGAAAAAAAGAAGGGAATGAGGTGGGGTGGAAGGGAGCCAGCAGGAAAAGTGGAGCTTACAACCTTTGTCTCTACCCCAGGAGACTTTATAATGCCCCTCTCACCTACCTGGCACTGACCGGGTCAGTTTCTTCCTCCTCCTTTTCTACCTTTGGGTCTTGGTAAAAACACAGACCTGCAGACAAACGGGAAACGCGAGGGGACGGTGGAGGTGGGGAGAGCCCTTGGTGGGCTGACCAGCACCCGAAACTGACACACATAGCTTTCCTCCTTTAGGGTTTCGGTTATGGAAAGTTTCCCACCTTTTGTTTCTCACAGTTCACCCTCTCTCCACAGTGCAAGTTAGTTCATTTTTCCCATTAGACAAAGAGTGAGAAAGCAGATTATTTCCAAACTATCTTTAAGACTGAGGCGGGGTTCGGGAGGAGAGTGCGGGTCCGGAAAGCAGTCATAGATGGCAGACGATGATTATTTTTAAACTATCACAAGTCTCCTTGATCTTCTCCTAGGATTCCTAGTCCCCTTCCCAAGGGTCATCATTTCCTGTAGACCTCGAGGTGGAGAGTGGAGAGACGGACCTGACTGGCACTCCCACAAGTCTCTGCCCTAAACCGCCCCACACTAGAAATCTCCAGTCAACAAGTACATTCACACTAACCTGCAAAATTGCCGCAAGTTTGACTCCTTCCACTGGCCTGAGGTACGACCGCCTCCACTGCTGAAGGAGGCTGGTATCCAGACGGGAACAAGGACCAGACTAGCAGGACTTCTGCACACGTCGACTCCTGGTCACATGAGATCTACGTCACTAGTGAGCTCGGGTCCCTAATTTCCACTCCCACCAAAAGCGCGGCAGAAGTGGGCCCACCCTCTGCTCCCTCCCCGCCCCCTACTTATACATTTGGCCCCGTCAGTCTTTTCTGTTGTTTCCTATCCCAAAGGGAAAAATGTTATTTCCTTGACTCTGATTACTAGGGAGGAGCTACCTCTTTTTCTACAGCTACTGAACGTTTTTACTTTTTCTTTCGAGAATTGTCTCTTCCAGTCTTCCACTCCCAGGATAACTCCTTCATCAGTCGTCCCTCCCCTAGCCTCCATTTCATCTGCAGTCTGGTCCTTAGCTGTTGAGGGGCAGAGTGCCCTTGGCAGCAGTTGTGAAACAAAAAAAGACCTTGGAACAAGAGTGAGATTTTTGAATGCAATTTTTACTGTTTATTCTCCGCACTTTTATGTTCTTTTTTTTTTTTAAGGTAACTTTACTCTCTCTCTCTCTCTTTTTTTGAGACAGGATCTCACTCTGTTGCGCAGACTGGAGTGCAGTGGTACAGTGGCACGATCACAGCTCACTGCAACCTCAAACTCCTGGACACAAGTGATCCTCTCACCTAAGACTCCCAAGTAGTTGGGACTACAGGTGTGTGCCACCATGCCCAGTTAGTCTTTTAATATTTTTGTAGAGATAGGATCTCTCTATGTTGCCCAGGCTGGTCTCGAACTCCTGGGCTTAAGTGATCCTTCCGCTTCTACCTCCCAAAGTGCTGGGATTACAGAACTGAGCCACTGTGCTGAGCAACTTTTATCTTTTTATACTCAGAAAAGACAAAGACAAAATTACTTTAATTACATGAGTTAATACATGTACAGTGCCCAGAATAGTGCCCAGCATATAGCAACTGCTTTTAAAGTGAAAGCAGTTGTTATATTAGAAGTTTTTTTCAGGAAAATGATTCAATTTTTTCTTAAAAAATACTAATGTTTTGTTCTAGAGTCCTCATGGTGGTGTTACCAGGAAGCTGTGCTGCCTGAAGAATCATCAGTTATCAATTGTCAGGTACACATTGTGAGCCTAAGCTTCCTCATCTGAAAGAAAGAAGTAATAGCATATACTCACAGAATTGAGATCTATTGAGAATAAAATAAGAGTTAATTTTTTATCTATACAATTAGAAAAGACAAATATTGATTATATTTGGAGTTGGTGAGGATATGGAAAACAAATATTCACATATACTGTGAGAATATTAAATAGTACAACATTTTTAGAAGTCATTTTTGCAATATCAAACTTTAAAATATACGCACTTTTAGACACATCAGTTATTCTTGCAGAGATTTATCATACATTAATACTCCTGTGCCAAATATGGTCATTGTCATGGTTGTGGTAATAGTGTTTTTTAAAGGGTCAAAAACTTAAATGTTTCTAAAAGGAAACCGGTTTAAGAAAAATCTGATCATTCATACAGAGCCACATTATACAGTGATGAAAAAATGATGTGGAGTTAACATTTACTCACATGAAAAAAATGTTCACTGTATATATATATTGTTAAACAAAAAAGGCAAATTGAAAGTTAATATTTGTGGTCTTACCTTTTTGTAACAGCGTACATATTTATGTTTTGTATTTAAAATATAAGTATATAATTAAATGACACCATAACATGATACGTGAAGTCCACAAATTCATTCCTATAAAATTCCAGGTTATATTACTGAAAGATGGGTGGAATAACTGATGTGAGCCTATTTGGTTTGCTGGCTGCACAGCCCAAATTCATCAAGGACTCAGCTGTGATTTGTTGCCACAAACAATTGTTCACTGAGCACTTGGACTCGAATATCATCCATCCATTTTACTATCTCCCCACCCGCTAACACCAATCATATTATATCCAAACTCAAGTTGTTGCAGGGTCTTACTGTATTTTTATGTCATTAGAAATGCAGATGAATATATTCTGAAATATTATAGGATACACTTGAGAATGTGTATTTTATATAAAGAGAAATTTTATTTTCTAAGTATTGCACTTCTATATTTAAAATGTAAATTAAATTACTAATAAGTTAGCAATATATTAATTACTAATATTCAGAAAAATTATTGAGACAAAACTGAAAAATAAAGAAGAAATAAAATATCTGACAAATATTAGACAGCCATGTATCTATTGAAATGAAAGGTTTTATAATATATTGGTATGTAAAGAAAAAGCAGGTTGCAAACAGTAACCTGCAGAGGATTCCACTTTTTAAGACAATATTTTTACATGTAGGTACATATAGGTATACATGCACAGAAAATATGGAATAACATACATCAGAATACTAGAATTAGGTATGATTGGGTGGTTGGTGGGCTTATGGATGATTTATATATTCTTTTATTACTTCATTGTAGACTCTTCTACATTTTTCTCAGGGGGCGTGTGTAACTTCTACAATAAGGAAATGTCTGCAAATAGTATAGTCTTATTTTATGGCACATATTTCATATATATACTTCTCTGTGGCTGAACAGGGTCTGAATTAAGGGCCTCCACTACCTGTTTGAGGCTTGAGATCCTTGCCATGGTTGAATCTCTCACATTTGCTTCCTTTGCTCTGCTGACCTCCTGGAAGGACTACATGTTCGTAACTAGTATGCATTAGAAATAAGGCTGTCTTCCCCTTCCTCTGACTATCCTTCCCTCCAATCAAGTTTGAGATGGTCAAGGTGTAGTACTAGATTATTAACATGGGGAAGGAGGCATCTCTCTCTTAAATTTGACCTGATGAAAATATTTTCTAGGAAAATATTTTTGCTAGAAAAAGTAATACTTATGTAACAATATAATATTTTAAACAGATTGTAATATAGTATTCTTAGTTGCCAATTAAATTATTTAAAAGATATGTTTGAATAGAAACAGAAAATTTGTTGATCAGGCTCTGCTTGACATGCAGCACGTATCTGTAGTTCCCTTACTTTCTTCTAGTAAAAATGTTTTATTTTTTGCTAGTAAAGAAAATATTATTTAAAAGCAGTTTATAAAATGATGTACATAAAATTATCTTATACTTAAAATACATATAGAAGGAACAAAACCCCCCAAGAATGTACACTCAATTTTATTTATTTGATGGCTCTCAAATATACATTTCATCCACTTATTGATTCCACAAATATTAATTAGGCGATTACTAGGTACTGTCAATCTAAACCCTTATGTCTTTTCTGGAGATTTCCTCTCAATTATTACTGAATGTGTTAGTGCAGTGGAGTTGCATCTTAAGCCAAGGATAGATTCTAAAGTCAGCATAAAAGGTAAAATCCTACCTAGTCAAACTTACCTACTACATAGCATATTAATGTAAGTTATAATGTTAGTGGGGAAAAATCAAAATATTTAAACTTAAAATTAAACTCCCATTTAATTTTATGGGAATATAGATTTCTAAAAACTTTCATGTGTGTTTTCCAATTTTTCCACTGTTTACTTGAATTACATACATAGAACAATGAAATACATAGTTTTAAGATAACCCAGACGTCATTCACTCCTCACTGTATATACGGGCATTCAATTTTATGTAAATAGTATATATAAAACACACACACACACATATATATATATATAGACAGATAGATAAAATTTTAAAATTGAAATATATATATATATATATATATCCCAGAATAAGGAAGAAGAGAGAGAGGAGGGGAGACCAGTTTTCACTGCTCTGCTTGTGAGTGGGATGGAGATTATATGTGTGTGTGTGTATAGATAAATATATTACATATTATATATAGTATACTATATATATTAGTCATATTATATATCATAATACTATATAGATATAATATAGAGAGTTAAATAGATACATAGATATAAAATTTATTTACTAGAGACATGCATGAATGCATAATTCATGAGGGAGAAATGTGGCAATAGATTCCTTCAATATTTTTATCCCATAAACATTTTAAAAAATAAATAGGTATTATACAGTAAAGAATATCTCCTAACTTGTTTACAATATAATAATGAATTTATTTTTCTCTTTTAACAAAGCTGAGATTTCTACTGGAGAAACTTAAAAAGTAAAGGGCCACCTTGTGACCAGAAACAGCACTGCAGTTTGTGCATCACCAAGCAGGAAGTCTAGGGCAGAGAAATAGTGTTAATCTTGATTAATAGTGCAACTAATTTTGGACCCATTGAGACTGACATACTCTTGGAATATCCAGGAAGAGAGTTCCACTGGAGAAATGGATAAAAGTCTGTAAAGCTAGAAAGGGGTATGGGCTAGAATGTAAAATTGAATGTCATCATCTCTAGGACTGTAGTGACAACTACAGAAATGGATGCGATCAGCCAAAGAGAACATGGAGACTGACGAGAAATGGGACTTTCAACATTTAGGCAGGAATATGGCTCAGTTGCTAAGAGTCCAGGCATTAAAACCAAATCCAAACTCTGTTCTTTTCCAGCAGTTAAAAAATGTTATAAACTCCCTATTAGAAACTAATGAGAGCTATGAATTCCCCTCAGCACATGCGTACACCTTGAACAAATGTATATACTCATCCTTGAACAAATGAGTATACTCACCCACGTACATATATGGGCACACGATCTTTTTTGAGACAGGGTATCACTCTGTCACCCAGGCTGGAGTGCATTGGCACAATAATGGCTCACTGCAGCCTCTACCTCCCAGGCTCAAGTGATCCTCCCACCTCAGCCTTCCAAGTAGCTGGGACTACAGGTGTGGACCACCATGCCCGGCTAATTTTTCTTCTGTTTTTGGAGATATTGGGTCTTTCCATGTTTCCCAGGCTGGTCTTGGACTCCTGGGCTTAAGGGATCCTCCTGCCTCAGCCTCCCAAAGTGCTGGGATTACAGGTATGATCCGCCACATCCGGTGGGCACACATTTTTTAATGCAAGTTTAGGAAGTCTATAGGTTTACTCTGTTAAGATTTTATGGCCTAACTTAATCAATACAAAATGCAAAACAGGAGGGTCAAATAGAAAACAAATAGTAAGATGA